TCTTTCTGACAAAATTCTATTGCTACTTTTGATCATGTGACCAAATACTATTGAATTTTTCTAATAAAATTATAAATTTTTATATTTTGAATAATATGTTCTTGATCTATTAACTACATTTTCATTAAATTTAGTCCCCAGTACAACTACTAAGGCATTTAATTATCTTATGTATAGATTCAACTACAGTAACTTAACGCTACGTACTGTACATATAACTTCAAAATTAAGAAATGCATATCTTCGACTAACTCACTTAATTGTACTAAGGAATACGTTGTCGCAATTTGGCGAGAAAACTACCTGTGTCCTTTTTTTAAAATTCTCTGCTTTGTCGGCACTAAGAGAACTTTTAGCAAGTCCACCGTGAGTTGGGCCAGGCCCACAATGAGACCCGACACATCCGGACGGACCGGAATTCGATCAAGAGCCCACAAAGCGGGAGGCTGACACCTTAAACTCTCAACCATCTGTCCATTTACCGGTAGCTTATTTCCTACAATTTAACGAACAATACCAGTCGATTTAAAGGTTCTAGCATTACGTAACAGTCAGGACCGGATTAACCCACTTTAGGACCCTAGACATTTTGAAGAAGAAAATTTCAATTAATAAATTTTGTTACTATTATTTCTATTAAATCGCATACGGACACTGCAGCTGCTTAATAAAAAATAAAAGCAAAATTATTTAACAATATTTCACAGGATTCAAGAATACATATAGTTAATATTATTCTTATCGCTATAAAAATAATTCTAAATTATTGGGAGTTTTCTTTTACTTTCAATTAGAAGAAACATAAGAATACGAGGGTTGTTCAAAAAGTTCCTGAACTTTATTTATTACAAAAGAAATACTTCACATACTTCACATATTTGTCAGGGTCCCCTTCAAAGTAGTCTCCTCCGCAACGTATACACTTATTTCAACGGTGTTTCCACTTTTTGAAACAGTTCTGGAACGCTTTTTCCGGAATGCTCGTAAGCTCCTCCGTCGTTTTTTTCTATCTCTGGAATGGTGGCAAATCTTTTTCCTTTGAGCGTGTTTTTTAGTTTGTTGGAGAACAGGAAAAAGTCTCTTTGTGTCAAGTCAGATGAGTAGGGGGGCCAAAAACTCACGAATTCGGAGGGACAAATGAGCCGCCGCGTTGTCGTGATGAAAAAAAAACCACTCGCAACTCCTCCAAAGTTCGGGCCGTTTTCGCCTGATTCTGTCTCTTAGGCGTTTCATAACACCAAGTAGTACTCCGTGTTGACTGTCTGGCCTGTAGATAGGTATTCGTGATGCACAACACCCTTTGCATCGAAAAAACAGTCAACATCACCTTAACATTTGAGCGAACTTGTCGAGCTTTTTTGCAGCGGGGGAAGTTTCCGTGAAGTTTTTTCGGAGTTTCACACAGAATTTCACAGAACAACGCTGCTCTTTCAAAGAGCTGATTTCTGCGGATCCGAGTTTTCGCCGAACTCTACAAACACCCCTTCACATAAACGGCCGTAACTAATCACCAAAACAAGATATTAACAAACGGGTTGAAGGAAGTTACTCGGGAGGTTTCCGCGGACACAATGCCTCCAAGCGAATTAAAAAATAACCAACTGGAGGCGCGCTATTCAAAAAGTCCGGGAACTTTTTGAACAACCCACGTACATTTTCTTTAGATTTTAGAATTCACTATAACCATATAAAAAACAATACTGTATATTTTTGTTTATTATATACAGTTGCCCAACAGAAAAGTAAACTATCTTATTTACAAATCTTTTCAAAATAGACAATTTGACCGGGCCCTAGACATTTGTCTCATATGTCTATGCGATGATCCGGCCCTGGTAACAGTTTTTAAGCACCTCAGCCCTTTTAACGCATAATAATGATTACCCAACCATACACGCGTTATGTAATTTATGGACAGCCGCGAGTTGCCCGAAAGTCTAAATTATTATTTCTTGTAAATAAAATTAATGCCATCTGTTGACGAACAAATTAACTACAGTGCTTTTAAATTAAACTGTAGTTTTTACATCAGAGGAACGGATTAGTTATACACATTTTCCTGCGTTATTTTCTTCAAGGCGAGATAAATCTTGCTTGTAATATTCTGACTAAGATAATGGAGGGTCCGAATAGTGTAAATACAATGCAACAACTTTACTAAAAAAGTTACAGATAAAAATAAAACCAGACCAAAGTACCGGTACTAAAAAAACTGGTACTACAAAGTACCGGTAAATCTTAGTATTTTAAAGTGCAGTTGAAGTGAACTATACTGCGTGAATTTGGGATATCTCACCCCTTCTGTACTATCTACAGTAAAATAAATTTAATTAACCAATCAGCAATCGTCATCGTTTACTTTAGCGCTCGAACGGCAGGTATTGTAGAAATATAAGCATATAAGCAGAAAATAACAATACTCCACAGACAAGAATGAGCCAGTTTAGCGTAGACATCACTTCGAATTTCTGGTCTGGATCGCATTCTAGAATACACCGTCAGACAATGATATACTGTACTATAGTGGACATTCTGAGAACGAGATCACATGATAAGAGGAAACTTTCTTTAGCTCTTTATCTATAACAGTTCTGTTAGTTTACCTGATATTCTATGAATTTATTTAGATTCTTCAATTAATTGGATTGATTTTAACACATTAATATCCTCGAATACTATGAGAAGATGAATTATTATGTTAGATGGCAAAGCAAGGTTGTTTAAAGTGAACTACAAAGTTGCTATAAGCAAAGCTGTCGAGAGTGTAAGTAGCCCGGGGATAGAGCGGGCTTCCGCTTTTTTTGAACAAATGAAATTCATAGAACATCGCTTTATTAATTAATAAAAAGTAATGTTGAAGATTTTATTTTCTGTTAGTAAAAATAACATTAATTTTACAGGACTTGAATCCACTCCGGGCCGTGGAAAAAATCCGCTCTTCTTCTATCCACGGCTCTGATTATAAAAAGGTTTGTCCATAAATCACGCGTTCTACTTTAGTTAAGGTTTAATTTAAACCTCTACCCCTTTTTTAACTCTTTCCTGTGCGCACTAAGAAGGCCTCTTTTAGCAGGTCCATTATGGGTTAGGCTATGTCCACAATGGGGAGGCCGAGTGGTGAGAAACGAGGCACGACATATCCGAACGGATCACCTAAAAAATTCCTGGGGATTTTTCGACCCGTCCGGTAAAGGTGGCAGCCTACCCCAGAGCGGTAGGCTGCCACCTTGACCGCTCGGCCATCAGGCCCTATCTGCCTTTTCAATGGCCAAATGTAGTTTCTAGCCCCACTCTTCAATGTACTACGAGGAAATCCTAAATTCCTTTTTTTGAAAAAGTTGTATTATTCAATAAAAGAAAAGTAAAGGAAATAAAGTTTAGTAACACAAGTTGCACTTCGATATATTTTTAAAGTCCACGATTTATACTTTGGCCACATTGGCTCCAATATGTTTTCGAACTACAGCTATTCCGTTTTTACTAATTTTTTCCAAATCTTGAAGATTCAATCCACAGGTGTCTATCAAATCCTCCTCCCACTTCTCTCAATTTAAAAATGTTTTTATGTTCTCTGCCTCCCCTAAGTTTGTACACCGAGTTTTGAGAATCATCCTGCATACGTCCATCATATACAGTATTCTAGAACAGTGGTCCCCAACCCCCGGGCCGCGGACCGGTACCGGTCCGTGGATCAAATGGTACTGGGCCGCCCAAGGAACATTAAATTATTTCCATTTTATTATGGTGTATTTCCTCGGGTTTGTGCGACTTTTAATGGACGACGGAACAACGGAATAAACTGGACATAAGAAACACACTTCGGGTGTCATTGTTTCCTATTACCTTCAGATGGAACCGTCTCGTTGCAAAGAAACAAGCTCAGGGTTCGCATTGATTTAGCGTTCTAGTGAGTTAAAATGTTAAATCACGTTATATTCATTTTTTTGGTGTAATTGTATTTTATTTTGAAGGCATGTTTAAATACAATTAAATTAAAATTATTAAATTAAATCAATCTAAAATATAAACAATCATCGTCCCCCCTCAGTGGGCCGTGGTAAAATTATCAAACGTTAACCGGTCCGCGGCGATAAAAAGGTTGGGGACCGTTGTTCTAGAATACCAGTGACGATTCGAGAAATGGAAATATCCGGAATATTCCAGAAGAGTGGTTTCATGACCAAAAAATTCCAATGCCGGTTGCGGAATCGAACCCGCGACATGCGTTCCGGCGTTTGGTGCTGCTACCGCTGGTCCACAAGAGTACATTTTACGAAATGTATTGTTATCTTTGGTGTTGCGGCGGACACCGATGGTACCCGTCACAACCGATAATACTCCTTACGTCTTACCTCTCTCTGACGAAAGTTTGCACCTTCTATTTGGCCTCCATGGTTCTAGGCGATATATGGTACCGTACTGTACATGAGCGAAGTATGGTACAGTTACCCTGTAAGTTGAATTAAATACATGCGAACAATCATGAATAAATTGTCATCACAACTACATCTATTTGTAATAAGTTTCAACTGTACAATAAATTTAAAAATTCATTAGTAAGACGAGAAGTGAGCACGCCACATTATATAAAATAAGTGTACACACAGTACTATAATATCGATTTATTTTCTGCTGGTTATAATCGTTTTAAAAATGTGTGAAAAATCTTACGTAATGTTCGTTAGTTTTTGTGTTTATTTTATGTTTTTATCGAGGTATTTCGTTTTATAATTAAGGAGAGCACTCTTATGGCAATACTACTTTATATCAAATGTGTAAAAAATAACATTTTTGTGTGAAATATAAAATTTGTTTTTACAATAACCGAAAACTTAAATTCGTACAAATTTGAAATTTTTAAATAATCAAATTACGAAAATTACGATTCAAATTTGAATTTCAGATTTCGAAATACCACAACGCCATCGTTTTTTAAATATTGTTCGAGAATATCCAATTTCGTTATATCGTTTTTTTCGTTCCGAAGAAGAAAAGCCAGCATGAGCAATTCTCCGCCTAGAAAAAAAAGAAATCGAAGTGGCCCGTCCCCTGTATTCGAGGGAGATCCTCCAGAGTTAACGTTTGGTCCTGTGGATAAACCGGACCTCATGTTGGAAAAGTCAAACGCTCAGAATAAGATTAAAAGAACTAAGCGCTCAAGACGCCCGTCTCGAAAAAGACGAAAATCAAAATCAAGAACAATCAGGGGAAGCAGGAAGAGGCCATCCAGTTTAAAAAAGAGAGGAAGATCCAAAGGGAAGAGCAAGAGACGAAGATCTAGTCGAAGACGTAATGGAAGCAAAAAGAAAGTCGGGCGCCGATAAACCGGACTGTTTCTACTCTGACAACGGATAATGGAATTGCTAGATTTTCATAATCTAGAAACCAAACGGCTCTTTTCAGAGCCACTTCCTAATGCTTAAGAGTAGTCGAGTTCAAATCTGATATTCACATAATACTGAACACGGATTATTGATTTTGTTTTAGATCGCGTATCTTCGAAATAATCACATCGGAATTCTTTTTTAGTGTTGCCACCTTTTCAAAATCGCTGGCCCAGACGACAGGTCAGGTTTGTTCGAACAGAAGTTCCTGACGCATGCGCATTTTACAATGCGAAGATTAACGTGCATGCCGGTTCTAAATCAGTTACAGTTAGGGACCAGGGACTTGCGTAGGAGTAACGTAAGTAACCCTAAATTAAGAAAGAACAAGCACAGATGACTTAGCTCGATTGGATATTGGAGACGTGTACGATCGTGCATGCAAAAGAAAAAAAAAGTTGGACAGGTTGCGCGTCACACGTCGGCGTAAACAGACTAACATGGCAGAATTGCAGATGAGTTTCAGTGAGTGTGAGTTCTTTCGCTGTTAAAATAGTGTAAAAAATATTTGCAAGAACTTTGTTTCATCGTAATTTCACAATTTCTACAAATTCTCGGACAAACTTAATAGTTCACCCGGACAGCGAGTCAATTCCCGGACTGTACGGGTGAAAACCGGACATGTGGTAACACTATTCTTTTTATTTTTAACTTGTAAATTAATCTAAGATACCATTGAAATTGTTAATTACATTTCTTTTTCGGTTTCAATATTATTCATCACAAACTATCATACTTTTTTTTTTGCAAATACATTTCAAACGATCTTCATCTAAACAGCAAGCCACTGGCGATTTGAATGACCATGAGGATTAGTGCAGTATTAGCACGAGCAGACGTCTCGCTCGTGCTAATACTACTGGAGTCATTCACACAATTTTAGTACAATCTTACGAGTTTTATTTGTAACAGTTCGTTACAGAAGTTTCGATATCTCGTTCGATCTAATATTGTAATATAGAATGTACAGTATATATTTTAATTAACGTCTAGTGAGTATTAAAGAAAGCGTTCGTGTCTAATTCGAAACAGGGGGGTTCTATGCAAACATATTCGTTGCGTTATTGCTTACAGACATAATCATTAATGATGTCATAAAGTCTTATTAGTAAAGCACTGGAGATGGAGACATTTAATACAATGTTTAAATCGTAGATTTACTTAATATTTCTATACAGAAATATTAAGTAAAATCATGGATCGCGCTAGGGTGGGGCGACGGTGGTCTCCAGTCCACCATAAAATTTCCTTACCCACATATTCGCCCATCCTGAAATAATTTAGTCAAGTTTAATTATATAGACCATTATTGGTGTTTCTTTAAATATGAATTGATTGTTCATCAGGTAATTACAGGTTCTCATTAAACTTTTTTCACAGTACGGTATACCTCTTTACGGCTGTTTCACTAACATTGCCTAATCGTGGTAATTGTATATCCAACGATTAGATTAATTTAGAGATTACTGACTCGAGAATTCAATTAACAAATTTTAGGGAAGGATTAGTCAATTGAATAATCTCGATGCTAGAAAATTTTCCTTCCCATTACTTGATTGGATGTTTCGGATAAACATAATAAGCACTTAGATACAAACATAGCGGAGTGCAAGAAACAAAGTCGAAAAACGGATTTTTTTTGAGAAACAGAATATATTACGGAAATAATACAAAAGTTCGCAGAGACAATAAAATCGAAAGGAATGAACGCGATATCGTTAAAGGTTAACAGTACACTCGGGACCAACTTGGCCTTGAAAACAAAGTTTATGGTTTTTGCGAACATAGGACGAAGTTGCATGGCACAATGGACAAATACTGTTCTTACTTTTTGTTTGCTGAATAGTCTAGAAGCCATGAATTTTCTGTTATTTGTTGATAATGGAATTTTGGGTCCTTGGGGGTTGGGACAAACGCTAAACACAAAAAGGGGGCACGTGGCCCAATGTACGGGTGCCCTTACACTCGTCATTGTTTTTGCAAATAAGCATATCTATTCCTAAAATAAATATTCCATATTTTCTATTCACTTTAATTTATTGACAAAATATTTTGATCAATATCCATAAAAATATTAAACTTCGTTAATCATTTTATATTCAAAGAAGGTAGGTTTCAAAGTTATAACTTTGGGCCTGGCAAACTCGAGACAATTAGATCACTTAAGAAAAAAATTACGAATATTAACTAAAATTGGAAACATTCTATAAAAATGTGATATCATTCTATCTTAATTGAACTTGTTCTAAGCACTTATCATTCATTGGAAATTAAGTTCATTCATTTACATACAGAATACATTAAGCATTGAAATATGAAAAATTTAATTATTTTTAAATAGTCCAGGATGTATAGAATGCACCAATAATGAGTATATTATATTAACTAGGGAATATAAAATCAATAAAAACTTTTAATTGAATTTTCAAGAAAATTGAGAATTTAGATCAGATCATCCTGTAAGGGATTCTAAAATTATTTAATAGATTTATTACTGATATTCATGATAAAAATTTATAATTTTTTTAAATCAACAGTTATAAGCAAAATGTTTTTAAACAGAGAAAATAAGTAATACTGGCAGAATATAAATGCAAAATGCATCATAACATTTTCCACTTTTGAGTATGATATTGTCTAAAAATCAATTAAATCTACTAGTATTTATCATCTGATCATAATTTCTAATTGTTCTTTACATTTGTTTCTAGTTATTATACTCATTAATAATTATATATATAAAAATAAACATCAATAACTACTGTAATGACACACATTTAAAAAAATAAATCAAAAATTGAAACTTTTAAAAACAAACAATTGTAGACACAATATTTTTAATCACAATACCACAAATATCATTAAGAATATAATTAGATATAGGACAAAATATGGAATGAAAACAAAAATCAATACAAAAATGACAATTATAACTTTTACAATTTTTGTGAACATGATGAAACTGACAAAACTAAAGTATGCAAATTTTATCATTTTAACATAATTTTTGATTCAAGGGTAATCAATTTCCTCATATAACATAAAAAAACAGCATCACTTTACTGCATTTCATGCAAATATAAACAAACAATTTACTTTTTAAATAGAATGTTAATGAAATATAACCCACAGCTAATTATTATTGCTGTTTTCAATACTTTGTATAACATCTGCATACTAAACATATAAATAAGAGATGTGGACTGATAGATTGTATGGACCTTGTAAAAAATTACAATAAATTTTGAAAACAGTATTGAAATTCATAAAGCACATCCAAATTGATGTTTATGATTAATTATTATACAATCATATCAAATATTGAGATTACAGAATTAATTATTGTATGCTCAAAGTAACTTTCCTCCTTCATGTAATAGAAAATATGATTTAATTCTTTATACCAAATATCAGCTAAGAATTAATCATATCAATAAAATTCTTTTATTGGTAATCAATTGCTTTTGTATCAATAATGTGTTTGTTTATTCTGCTCAAATACTTTTGAAACTTAAATATTAGCCTTAATATATAATATAAAGACAAATTAAGAATATATCAAAATAAATTAAAAAAAAAAAAGGCAATGATTTGAAATATATTTTAAGCATATAACAAATACATTTTATTAGCAATTTTTATTCATGATTCAGAATAAAATGATACAACATTGATGTTATGTAATTAAGACTAATATTTAAGGATTAATATTTGTGAAGAATAAAATATTTCAAGTTCAAAATAAGATGTTTTTTTACTTTTCTTTTAAGAATACTTTTCAGTTATAATCATTGAAAAAATTCTGATAAACATAACCAAAATTTATTCTTTCTGGCAATGTCAGTAATGAATTTGATTACAATCAAACTTCACATATTTGACAAAAACACTCAAGTCAATGGCAGTGCTAATCAAATGCATACAATGTTATCCAAGAAATTTCTCAAGCTTTAAAACAGAAAGGAGGAGGAAAGAAATTGAAAATTTGCCTACATCTAAAAATTACCTACGTGTGTCCTTCACCTTTAAGATAAAAAGACATGACTACACAATATCATGATTTAAAAAATTAAGTCTCAGCAGAGAGATCTGAATCTTGAGAACTATACTTGTGATCATTCTCAATTGCTTGATTATTAGCAATTCCACTTTCTTTCTCCTGGTCCTCTGAAAGAAAATTGAGGTCTACTTCTGTAAGATGCTGACCATGAGCACTTCCAGCATGAGCCATGAAAAGATCCTTTAGGAAACTGAGTTCTTTTGTCAACAGTTTTATTTTTGTCTCAAGCATCTCATTCTCTGCTCGCAACTGATTGACTCTTTCTAATGTCTGTTGTGTTTTCATTTTGCTTTTGGTACGACTCTTCTTCACTGCAATGTTGTTCCTCTCTCTCCGCCGTCGATATTCATCACTATTCTTGTCAACCGAATTACTTTTCTTGGATCGACCTCGACCCGATGAACTTTCAGAGATGGCATCACTGGATGAGTCACCAGAAGCACCATCATCAACTGATGCAGATGTAGTGGAAGATTTATTTCTTGGAGCCATATTGATGATGAGCAAATGATATAATTGAAGAATTAAAACATGTTATTTATAGATGAATTTGATATCTGTTGTAAAAAAAATTAATATTAAAATCCAAAAATATGAATATATACATATAAAATTCTGTATTATATTATAATAATAATTCAAAATTATTATTACTAATATACTAGACAAATAATTATTTTTATTACAGATAAATTGATAAATGCTATGTAGGTTTTATGCAACATTTTATTGTGCAATCAAACTATGAATAAGTCCAAGGGTGACCAACAGTTTTTGCCCCCGAGCTGAATTGGAAAGAAAACTTTTTTCATGGGCCGAACCAGAGGCTGCCCTAGGAAGATTTTGAGGTGGTGCAAGATCTCATTGTGGTGTCACCCCATAGAGACTAAATTGTACATAGAGATTAAAGATACATTTTTCACGTTATCATGCTTTATCAACATTCTATGCTGTACTTAAGAGATTTATAATGGAGGGTTAACTCTAAATGCAGTGAGTTGTTAACCTTTTTTTTTTTTTCTTTTAGGCATCAGAATTTTTCATTGAGCTATTNTTTTTTTTTTTTTTTTATTTTTATTTTAGGCGTCAGAATTTTTCATTGAGCTATTAGGACTTGAGTAGCTAATATTGAAAGATTAACTGGGCTGCAAAAATTCAATCGACAGACCGTATGTTGGCCATGTCTGAATAAGTCTATTAAGTTTACTGATAAGAAAAATTAATTATTATTTAATTTTTCAAATTTTATACAGAAAATATTCTATAAATTATAATAAATAATAAAATTTAGAAAGTTGCCAATTGAACATCTAACATAGTCAAATAAATCAACAGTTCTGAGAAAGAAAAAAAAATGTTTATTTTTATCAGCAAAAGAGACTTGTATTATTATTTCCTTTTAAAAATCGTTCAGAAGATTAATACTTATATAAATCATAAAATGTATTGTTGACATTATTCAATGAATAAAAATTTTTGGGTCAATCAACAACAGAAAATGATTTATCCATTCCCTGAATATTGGCAATTGGAATAAAATGTAAACGTTTTTCCATGCCTTATCAATGAATAAATAATAGTGATTGACCATGTTTCAATTCCAAAAGCAATTGCAATCTCTCATTTTAAAATTTATAAATGATACTTTTTAAATGAATTTCAAGGACAACATTAAAGTATTACATTTTAATGATTATTAATTATTTCATCTTAACTGTCTTTTCTTATCCTCTGATTTTTATTAAAAAATATATTAATATGAAATTAATTATATTTCATTATAATTATTATACTATATTTTTATTATTTAGTATTATATTCATTATATATTAATAACAATCAAAATTTTGCTCATGCAAATAGAAAAATATGCTTTTCTAGTATCATCTTTACAACCTATATTCAGTATAAATCACAAACACTCATTTAGAATTTGACTACCTAAAGCAGTTACTTCTTTATCTTTATTCCAGCAGAAATGTTTTCAGTCTATCTTAGGACAACTTTAATTTTCGGTCACAATAAAAGATGGTGCCAAGATTTACAAAATATAAACAATTATTTAGTTACACTAGACAAAAGAAACCTACTAAAATATTTATATGACAATTTGAAAAACAGAATAATACTGTACTTCTAAAACATAATTAAATAAATTTTCTCTATTTTTTGTTTGTTATTTTGTTGAAATTACTATCACCAGTCTTTTAAGAAGAAATCTAATTTCCATAGATAATTTCATTCAATAATTCGACATTTTGAAAGATAAACTCAGAAAAAAAATTCAAAGAATTTTCAGATTTTATTATTAAATAAAAATATATAATTTGATTTCTTCAGTTGTGCACTAACCTTTTATCTGAAATTATTTACTTTAGTTATGAAACTTCAACTATTAATTATATTTTAACATTACATACAAGTAACTTCATTTTTACATTTAGCAAGTTTTGAATTTTTAAAAGCAAACAAATAGAAATATAATGAATGTATGCATAAACTATTCAGATAATTTATATAAAATATAATTTTATATAAATTATATGTAATATTTACTTTCACCAGCAAGCAGGAAACTTACTGCCAGTCATGAAATTTATTATTTAGTAGTAGAAAAAACCCTAAGATAATTTATCTAACATTTCTTTCCCATTAAAATAATTACTTTATTGAAAAAAAAAGAAAATCATAAATAATTAATTTTATAAAGATTATTATTAAATATTTTAATTTAAAGGAAACACTAGTCAATAAAATTGAGTTATCACTCTTTCAGTTTTTTTAAAATCATATTCTCAAACTTAATATTAAAAATAAACACTACAAAAATAAAATTTACTAATACTGACCAATAACTAATGTATTGTTGTTGAGAATTACACTCATGATATAATAATAATCAATTAATAACAACTCAGTATTTCTCATTACTTTGTAATGAAATTTAAAATTAAAATAACTAAATTCCTGAATAAGATTTCATGAAAATTTAAACTTTACAATACTAAGGAATTAATGAGGTTTATAGAATAAGTGTATTCAATTCTGATAGAATAAAATTTCCAAATATTTAGCAAATGGAACTAAAAATATTTTCATATTTAGTTTAATCCTATTTTATTCCTAAATTGTATATTTTACATGTGGGGACAATAGTCAAAGGCACTTTGATCTAAAAATTCTATTTGTGCATCCAAAAGAAATTACTTTAGAACTCTAATCTCTTTAAAGAAAGAGAACAGTCCTCTAAAGGAAAACCAATTAACCATGCACTGTATCTGTAACTCTAAATTATCTTAAATTATTATTTCAGCAACTTAATAGTGTTTTTTTCCCCCAAATGTATCATGATGACTTCTGTATGTTATAACACTCTTTTTTATTCTTTTTAAGTACCTTTAACAAAATGCATTTCAGACTCATATCACCCCTCTTCAGTTGTTACATATTAAACTGTTACTTAAAAAAGACATTACCAGAGCTTAAAAAAAGGAGAATCCAGATGAACAAGCCTCCACACTTGCAAATGAGATGCAGAGAAGCCAATAAAATATTTTATTGCTAACATTCATATAATTTGGGATTCAATCTTTAACAAAAAAAAAAAAAAAAACTATTTATCCTTTTTAATGTCCTTACATTATTTATATTTTCTCTTTTTTATATTTAATTCTATTTTAATTTAAAAAATTTGGAAAAAATTGTTATCATCTACTTAGTTTTTAGATTAAAATTATTAGTTATAGTTTGTTAGTTTTCAGGTTAAAATTATTTTTTCACTAGTTCAGTATACAAACTTAATAACTGTAGTGCATTTTGGATAACCAAACCATGTTTGTTGATTATGCTGCTAAATGTTCTAATAAAACACAAAAAGAAATCAATTATTTTTTTAAAATAATAATGACTTTGATTCACATCAAATAGAGTATAAAACACTTTTAAAATGAACAAGAGTACACTGTATTTGATAATCAAAATTAATTTAGTTATTTAATAATTTTAGATTTTCTAAAATATTAACCAGAATCAATTTAAATCCACAACTGCTGTATATAAGCAAGATGGTATAACTGAATTAGTTATACCATCTATGCTCTGGAATTAATCTAGTTCTAGATAATTTAGAGTTACAGGTATTGGTTAATTGGTTCCATAAGTTAACTACATATATTGAAGTTAATAATCAATGACAAATAAATTAACTTGTGAATTAGGTCTTAAGATGTCATCTAAAATCATTATTTTTACATTACTATTCATTTAGGCAGAGCAAAAACATAAAATGAAAAAATTAAATTAAAAAAAAACATTCCACAAAAATACTGGTAATATAATAATATCCAAAAAAAACCTGAGTTGTTAGATGTGGAAAACTGAATACTTACAGACTTTTCACAGGGTAACACTTTCCATTCCATGCAGGCAAGTATCATGTGCTGTCTTAGTAATAATATAGTGCAGTGTTTCTCAACGGGGGCGATATTGCCCCCATGTGGGCATTTTTCCATGTTGAGGGGGCGATTTGTAACAATTTATATTTTGGGGGGCAAAAAACAATTTTCTGGGTGATATAGTAAAACATTATATTAAGAATAATTAGATATTTTATTTGTTATATTGTACAATAATTAAACAAATAACATTATACTAGTCACTAGTCTATTCAATG